CCGAAAAACCCTTCGAAAACGTGTGCACCATAACATGCCTCCCCAGTTTTTCTTGGAGGAAGTGCAAGATGGATTTGCAGCGTATTTTGCCATCATCTACCAATAAACCGCTGAGCACGCAGTGCCCATGCAGTGAGACGGCTCTTGTCTGACGCCGGAGCATAACAAAGCACGGAATTGCATTGAGAACCGGAGGAATCTCTTTTGATGGCGCAGAGATCTCTTTGTCCAAGTTTCCACCAGATTGCAATGCCCGAGACAGGAGCCGTATTAAGCTCGCGTCGCGCGCGCGTGTTCATTGCGTCTTCGAACTTTGTGTTTGACTTGGTTTCGTTTGGACATAGGTCCTCAAGGCTTGACTTCGGATTCAATTTGGATTGAAGTGTTTGCTCTTCAACAAGCTTGAGGCAAACAAGATTGAACTACATATTAGTTACGTGACTGCGGTGCACTAAAGCTCGGAGAAGCGATATTTTGTCATTCTCATCAAGAAAGAAAAGAACGATCGACGTTGTAACCCTAAACCCTAAACGCCATCGCTGAGCGTTTGTCGCAAATTTATGAGTTGGTCACCTTTACCCACAATTTCGTGGCGGAGATGCTCGGACCGTCTTCGAGGCAACATCATTGCCGTACCGACTGATCAGCTTCTCAGGTCCGAAAGCCGACTCCAAACAGAAGAAGTTGGAACCCGAAGCGTGTTATTGCAAGTTTCACTTTTTTGATTCAATAACTTATTTCCACATGGGAGTATGCATGGCATTCAGTTTTGTTGTGCGGCGCGGAGAGCAGAGCGAAGATAGTCCCTGTTTGCCGGATTTGGACTCCCGCGCAGCATTGGCATGGACGAAGCCCTTGGAATGTTTGTGTCGATTTGGACGACCTGTTTCCCGTAAGTGTCATGACAATGTCATAGTTCTTGACCCAGGCACACGGGCTTGCAAACTATTGTTGTAATCAGGTGACGACACAGGGAACTTTCGCAGAAGCAATGTTGTCAATGACCATCTTCCAATTGATGGCCTACTTTCGACTTACCTGGGATTCTTGTCCGAAGTCCATAACGGGTCATGAAGTTCAAATCATTCTATCTTGTTTTGAGCACACCGTAGTTCGGCCAATGTTTGTTTTTGCCGTTTCAGTCAGTATGTGGCTTGGACGGCCGAGAACGACGGGAACATGCGACATGCTGCTCGTGTTTTCACTGCAGCCACTTCTGTTCGTGAATGTGGGTGGCTGCCATCGAAACGCTGAGAGGTCAAGACTGACGCGAGCCCAGCTGTTGCACATTCGTGCCTGACACGCCGGGTTTTTTTGCATGACACAGCTTGATTGTGCAATATCATAAAGTTCAGCTTTCCGCCGACGGCTTCAAGGAGAGAGGGTTGCATTGACGCCAGTGTTCCGGTTCAGACCAGGAGCAACTCATCATGGCCGCAGAAGCTGGTGTTGCAGCTGCCTCTGCGGCTGCTGTTGGTTTCGGACTTTTCGATTACAATCGCCGGAGACTTACCTGTCGAATAGAGTTTCCGGATGCTCCGTATCATGTAAGTGAGACGTGCCTGGTTCTGGCTGAGTGGTTGCTGCGCATGCATGGTGATTACGATGTTTGACCGGTTCACTTGTTGCCGATACCACAGAAAGTTTGCGTATTTGGTCGCGATTTGGCAGTTTCGTGTTTGCTCTGGATTCGCAGGTGCCAACTACTTATACGATGCAGAGTTCCGGTTTGAGAGGCATGCTCCGCCGGACAACGTTGGTGAGCAAGCAAAGTAGAGGAAAGTGCTTAGTTTCTGTTTGCGCACTTTTCCGCCGGAATGTCTTGATCATGGGAGCATCGAGCCATGCGGGTTCGCCCTGTTGATGTTCTGGAGAGCTTGACATGGCTGTGTCAGGATGTGTGAAACCCTGTTTTGGAAGACTCAATACCGAGACATCGCAGCAGCCTGCGCTCGCTAAACATGGTGCGCAGGTTCAGCACAGGGCGCGAATATGCTGTGGAGCAGTCCAACCAGAGACTTGGATGCATGCTGTTCAGGCTGAGTTCTTTACGAACAAAAAAGGACCCGAGCGGTGTGTTGTTGTATGTTGAGGCCGTATTTGCATATGTTGAGGTTCCGAAACGACTTGAGAACCCTGTCAGCTTTGACGATGGTGAAGAACAACCAGTATGCTGTGGCCTCTGCACGCTTGCACGGTGTTTGCGCAGTACGATATACCAGGTTTATCAGACTTGGGACGACGCTCGAATCTGACATAGACCAACCGTGCCAGGGCCTGGCCGCTCTGGACATGGCGCTGTGCATTGCGCTGTATTGCTGATGTCTCAGGGCACAGTCACGGCGCAGCCGTTGCTCAAGCCACAAGTTCCGAGGTGCTGGAAGACTGGGTCTGCATGGTCCTTCTCCTCCTGGTTGGATTATGGCGTCATCCCGGCTAGATTGCAACGAAGGTTTCGAAGGAAGAACCCCACAGACATCGATCGCTTGTGCTGGCTCGCGTTGCGTTCCTGGACTCTCAAAGGCTCTGGATCACCAGCAATGCAGCCTCGTTTGGTGGCCTGACTGCATGGGCAGGGACTGCTCACGGTCTGTTCTGCCGAGTCCACATTCCAAGAGTCACAGTGAACGCATACTGTCGCTGCCCAGCTTTCATGGCCCTGGCGATCCTGCTGGCGTTGCATGCATCCTACCGCGCACAGGCCTGCTGTGCATTCGGCAAAAGCATTGCTGTCCCTTTGTCACATCCAGATAGAGCAGCTGACTGAATATTTAGTTGTTTTACTAAATTAACTGCTTGGAAGGGTGACTGTTGGACTCTAGTGGAAGTGAGTGGAATGTGTGCGCAAGATACGTCCTTGATGTCAACAACTTGCCTAGGGAATAGGAAACCGATTCAGCTGTTGCGCTAACAAAATCAAGATTTAATTGTTTCGCTTTTTCCGCCAGAGATTCGACTTTAATTGTTGTTTTGCAATTTGTGTAAACTTGCACCAGCGAACGCTTTTTGAATATGACATGAAGGAGGGGATTGCTGTAAATGTCCTGCTGAACTGAACAAGAACCGAGGCATTCCATTCGGTGTGAGCAGCTCTTCATAGCACGTGAGCTGATACACCACCATCTTGTGGGCATCTTAACGGGAGCAGGGATGTAACCAACAGGTTTGAGTTTCGTGAAACTCTGACCTGGCCATCTCCGGAGCCTTGAACGTGCACAGTCCAGCAAACTGTGTCTTCTCTGTCTCGCGACTTGGTCGTGGAACGTGGTGTCCCGTGAATCCATGGGTTCCCAAGAGAAGCTTACTTGCACGATCAGCTTATGATGTGGGTGTAAGTAGGACTGTCCGTTCACATCTTGCAACTGGACGATCTTCATAGAACGAGGACTTTCGGCTCTTTTCCAGGCTCTTTCGGACTCACATCAGGTACACAACCGGAAGATGCCGCTTCAGGATGGTATGCTCAATGAATACTTCGATGGTGCTAGAAGTTGTCGGAAAATTTGAGTAAATCACAGTCACCTTCAACATTGTGCTGTATTTTCGCAGTCTCTTGCCGAGGATGCAATACAAACCTTTTTGTGCGTGTGTTTCATATCATGGGGTGCTGTGCTTCGTTCGTAACATGAACGTGCAGCAAGTGCCTTCGGCAGGACGGGGAATCTGCAGCCCGTGTACAACAGGGCTTACACCCGTGTCGTAGAGTGTAGCGTGTGTCGGTCGTGAGCTGGGCTGCGAGCAAGGACCTGGAATAGGGCCAATATGTCAACAGAAAACAGAGAGAGAGAGAGAGAGAGAGAGAGAAAGAGAGAGAGAAAGAGGCAGTGATCTGCCCCTATGCCCCGGAGAGAGAGAGAGAGAGAGAGGCAGAGAAACATGTTGGGAGGTGCCTGGAAACAAATGTATGTTATATATATCTATACACGTTTATATAGCTCCGATATTAATGGATACCCCACAGACACACGTATGCATGTGCATAAATCCGTTTATGTATATCCACAGGTAGGCCGCCAGAGCGTTTCATGTGGTAAGGGATGTCGGAGACTACATCCCCACGTGTTCCCACGGGCGCCCATATGTAGCAGGTCTTCCACTTGCAGAGTGTCCAGGCGTTTGTTCTTACATTGCGTGGGTTCACATCAACAGTTGTGCCCTTCTGTACGTCAATACATCTACATAGGTGGGATCTAGAATGTACATTCCCAAGCGTGTAGTGTTCCTTTGTGTGTACTATGCATATGCATGCATGTACCTATGTATGCAGGGCTATGTGCTTGCGTCATGTACGCATCTATGTATGGGGTATGCCTGTATGTGCAGCGGCACTGGTGGTAGCAAGGAGGTAGGCAGGTAGGTCTATGGGCAGCTTGGTACATAGTGAGTAGGTGCGTAGCTGGTCGACTAAACAGGTATTTAGGCAGGGGAGGGAGGTCAGCATTGCAGCGCAGAAGAGCTTGAGCTGAGCCTCCCTCAAAGCCTTTCAGGGTCGCAATTCTGTAGTCAGGGGATGACAGGAGTATTTGTAGCTGACCGCATCCGGACAGTTTCTTCGTGGTAGACCAGGGTCGACACCAGGCAGCTTCGGTGAATTTGCTGACCCGCAAGATTCGCGTGCCGGTCCCTTCCATGCGGCACCTGGACAAGGCTGTTCTTCACCATTCGGCAAATTGGTGAAGCCCTGCACTTTTGTAGCTTCGATTCTGCAGCTGCTTCCAGGCGAGGCGATTCAGTTCTGAGTTTGAGCAACAGCAGTGGAGCGACTGGATCGCAAATCGTGTGCGTTGTCGGAACTCGCAGCAATGCTCTGATGCGTGTAGTTTGTTGAGCCGAGGCGACATCCTCCGTGTCCCGTACCTCACAAATCCGGGTGTGCCGAAAACAGACGAGACGCCTGAAGCCAAGAAGAAGATTTGAAGAAAACAAACAACATCGTGTCGGCTTGTTTCAACGGCTGTGTCAGCACGCGTCCATATAGCACCCTTTGCAGCAGCGCTGAATACTTTAATTTGAGTGAGCCGTACGTGGTGATGCAAGAGACCCGTTATCGGTTTTGCCAGCAGTGGAGTAGCATATGCATTATCTGAGACGTTTGTTGCGCATCGACATCAGGTCTGCCAACATCGCGGGTTCCGCAGGCAGGGCTCGATCCGTGCGGTGCCCCTGTTCAAGACATAGAATTGCAGAATCACCAGCAACCAGAACCTTGACATCTTCCCGAGTCGACGCTCCGCTCCGGTGATTTCAGGCTTTGGAAGTTGCAAATTGGTAGGTCAATTTGAGATGCTATGTGTCGTCCCAATGGCAACGGTCCTTTGCAGAGGCTCATCTGTTGGAACTGCGGTTCGCCCTTGTGTTGAGCCATGGCCTTTGCCAGAGCAGGGCTGGCAAACGTCGGGCGACGAGCTCGACCCGTCACGTCAGCTGCTGGAGCTGGGGCGAAGGCGACGGCGTGCTTGTATGCTCTGTTTGGCAACGACATTCTGACAGTGTGTCCTGCCTATCAGTTGCATGCCGCCAACGCGCCCTCCCATGTCGCTGGCTCCACTACGCCGTTTGCAGACTTGAAGCACAAGCCGCTGACTCACACCGTGCATGCTGGCAGGCCCGGAAGGGCGGTTCTGGAGCCCCTGTCCTCATTCGATCCCGCTTCGTCCACTGCTTCCGTCCCTGTCTGGTTTGGTTCTCGCTCGAAACATGCATGCAGTACCCATCCTGTTGGTCTGAGACCTTTCGTCCGGCATCTAGGAGCCCTTCCCAGATCTGGTGTTTTTTGTCCGCACGATGGCCAGGGCCCGGGCAATCAACTTGGCCGCTGGAGCAGCGGCACTGCCGCTGGAGGTCCTCGAACGAGCCAGCGCCGAGTTCGTGGAGACAGACCACAGTGGCATGAGCCTCTTGGCTTGGGCATCGGATGTGACAGCTTCAGCTTCAGTTTCCCTCGGCACCCCTGGGAGGTGTCGCTGAAATGGGCTATCGCACTAAGCCGTTCCATAGAATCATGGAGCGCGCGGAGAGCTCCTTCCGAGAGCTTCTCAGCATCCCCGACACGCACGAGGTCGTATGCCGAGACTTGCATTGCGACTCAGAAGCTGCATTTGCGATGCGATGGAGGTGCACTTCTTCAACGGCGGTGCCACGCTCCAGTTCTCTGCCATTCCTCTGAACCTGTTAGGCAGACCAGAGACCGCCGTGCTGTGCGCTTTCTTCATGCATAGATGACTCTGAAGGCGGCCGGAATGATGGCAAGCCTGCGACGTTTCCTCAGGTATGCGTCGCTTCTCCTCACTCTCACCTCTTCAGTCTTCGAAATGATTGAGATATAGTGAAACATTTTGATTTACAGACTGTGCGTTGCTACCGAGGAATTACTTGATGAGTGGTCATTGGAGTGAAAAAGCCAGCAACGAAGCCCGGCTTTTCGGTAATGTGAAGGAAGTGGCAGAGGATCCCAAAGGCCGGTACTTTAGCAAGCAGCATCGTCGCCATACAGCAGCAGCGAGTGCGGATTTAGCATCAGTTCTCCGGAACCTGAACAGGACTTTACTTCGACATTCCGGATAGCTGCTTGCCTGCTTCATGCGTTGTCGAGGGTCTTGCAAGTGGATGGATGCGCGCCAAACCAAGCAGCATCGGAAAAAGCACAGAAGCCGTGCGACTCAGGTAAGACATGGAATTTCGATAGAGATGCAGCATACTTCCACTACACGTCGGCCGACACCCGACAGGGCCTTGAAATCCGAAACTTCGATTTCGATGCTATTCCAGCAGGTGGTCACCCTTGCTTTGTTGCCTTGGCTGTCGGCCGAAGTTCTTCGGGGTCATATCTCCGAAGCGAATGCTTCATGGTAGGCATGCCTGTGTGCTGTGATGCATCGGTGTCCTGGATGCAGCAGAACGGGGAGTCGCCTTTCCGTTTACTGGCAATTGCAGTGTTCAAGGCGAATCTGGGCAGCGCGCCCATTGACGTCTGCAAGTGTGGGCCTGGGTTGGCCGTGCTGCGACGAGAGCATTCTTCTGCCGCGCGGGTCTCGTATTTGGTGTCTGAGGTACGGAGTTCTCTATGCTGCTTCGCACAAAAACTTCTCCACCGCCGGTGTATGCTACAGCATCATACGGCGGGCGCCGACCTCAGTTCTCGTGAAACCGTGAAACGCATATCACATCCCTTGGAGTGAGCATCACGCTGCCCGAAAAAGGACTTGATCAGCGAGGAAACGCAGATGAGGGCAATTCCTACCATGTGTAATTGGGTCAAGTTCCAGAACGCGCCAAACAAAATATACAACGTGCCGGTGCTCGTTTCGATATGGAGCCTTGATTGAAGTTATTATGCCTCAGGATCGCTGAAGCAACGTTGTCTGCCCATCAAGGGTTGGCCCTGAGGATTGGTGCCTTGAACACAGAGTGGATGATTGAGCGCGGTGGTGTTGCAGCTTTCGAAGAACTTGCAATTCAGCGCTCTCAGCTACTCTATGCGCCTTGCCTGAAATCGGACATGAGAGGTGGTGTTTTGGAGAAAATGCAATTCTGCGCAACGTGTGCGATGTCGTAAGATTCAGACGTGCCTGACAACACAAGGGAGCCCTTGTCGTTGTGCCAACGTAGTTGTTATTATGCCGGTCCGCGGGTTTGTTTCTGCGTGTCTTCATGACGGCTTGAACAAAGCGCGGTCCTTGCGACATTTCTGCAAGGATGTCATTGACAATTCCAATGGCTTCTACAGGACCTTCGTAGACAGCGAGGCTGGTGCCTTCTGGTTTGTCGCTTCTTGATAGCTCTGGTGTATGCCGCTGCGAACTGCGGGAAGGCCTTCAGATCTCGCATGCAAGTCGTCTTCACGATTGGAAGCGGTGCTGGCAACGATCACGAGCTGGTTGAGAGACATGCTTGCAAAGTTAGCTTTAGCAGACCAGAGCAGCAAGCTGATCTGTTTGATGATATTGTCTGCTAATCAGGAAGTTCCTGCAAAGGGCGAATGACGAGCTTGGCTGGTTGGATATTCGCTCCCACCCCTTGGGGACGCCTTCCGATGCCATCAGGGTGACCTCGCTTCTTTTCTTCTTTTCTTGCAAAGTTATTTGCTCAGAGCTCCGCTGTGACAGGTCACCATGTACAACCACCAGACGCTTGAGACGATCAAGGTGCCGAGCTCGTCAGAGCTCGCTGACTTTCTCGTTGCCACCCTCGCTTTTTTACGACATGCATCTCTGAGCTTCCAGCTCGTTTCGCTCAAGATGTGAGTGCTCATCTATTACACACCCTTCGACCACCTCATTCCGCTAACCGTTCTTTCTCATAGACTTACGATTGCCTACTGCACTTGTCACGACCAACAGCTCGTGCCCCACTTTTCACGCGCTCACAGTTTTCTCTCTTGCCCGCGCTGTTCCCAGACTGCGTAACGCGTCAAACAGGACTTGTCTTGAAACTTCCTCGTGTTCGCTGCACCAGTATACAGGAATCGTGGCAGACGTGCTCCAGTTTATCGGTTCTCTGAAAACGCTGTGTAGCTGCTAGTGGGTGCCTTGCGGCGCAGACTGCCGGAGATTGATATTTCAATGAGCGTATCAATACATAAAACTATGAGTACTGCAGCCTGCATCAACTGGATGATCAACACGGCTTCTGCTGCCAGCATGAACTGTCCCGAGTGAGGTGGTGCGCGAGTTCATGCACATGTTCCAGCTCCTTGGTCGACGAGAGATAGGCAGAACATACAGGTCAGAAGTGTCAGAAGACTCTGGTTGCTTTTATGTGGACTGTAGCTTTTGCTCTTGAGAAGGCGAGCGAGCGCCAATCTGTCAGAACTGCCTTACAAGCCGGCCCAGAGCACATCCACTAAATCGCTGAGGCAAGAGCATGCTTCAAGCGGGGACTACAAATCCTTCCTGGCAGGGCAGGAGTCCTCACAAAGCAGCATGCAGATGAGATACATCGTCAGCTCGTCGCACGCATTTGTCGTGACCTCGAACTGTCCGGGATGCCCAGTCTTGACAGGTGGAAATGAGTTCTTTCATGCTTTTGCCCTTCTGCAACTGGCCAGGAGACAAAGCCTTTTGCCTCGCTCTAAACAAAGGCTGGAGCACAGTCGCGCGCTGGATTGGTCTGTTGCTTTCTGTTGCTGTTAGGAGCGACTTGCTGTGTGTCTTGGATGCAACAAGCCTCGCAACTCTCGTATTCGTGCTCACCAAGTCAGTGGAGGTGGCTTACCATCAATTTGATCTGGAGCGACGCAGTGTTCTACCTCTTGGGCCATTTCAGCCAAGTTTTTGTGAGATCGATGACTATGCATTGCTAGCTTTTTTTGATTTATGTGCCAAGAGGAGCAGAATTTCAGCTTCGGCAATACATAGCATTGGGTCTCCTTGAGATCGCTACAGGCCGATGCACTGCCAAGTTGGAATCAAAAACGATGACATACGGCATACGTGTGCTCAGCCTGTAGCTGTAGGTAGTAGCGCAGCTCCAGTGCAGCATTGGCTTGGGTCGAGAGATTGCAAGCAAGAAGCTGGTACGCAGGAGCCGCACCGTGATAAGCTGCGCTTTTTGCATAGGTTTGGCTTGAGGAGCCATGCCTGACTCACTTTTCGCTCAAAGAGCTTGCCATAGAGTTTCTTCAGGTCTCTGGAGCTGCAAAGTTTCCAGGCCATGAAACTGTCAAAGCTGCTGGTGAGCATGGGGCCTCGCAGTTCCCTGACCAGCCTTGTTGCGGCTTTCTCGAAACAGCCTCTGCCCCATCGCGGTTCCGGTTGCGGCCCGTTTGCTGTTTACCGTTTCCTTTGTTGAAATTGGCCGCTGCTGACGGCCGAGGCCTCCCCGGGCCGCCGGAGCCGCTCGACGAAGGCCTCCTCCTGGATCCGCGAGGTTCGCACGAGCGAAAGGGAGAGGGATAGACTCGGAAAAGCGACCGGAAGTCTTCCTGCAAGCAAGAAGCGCTCAGGAGTTCGAGACGGACCAAGCAGGTACGGTCACAGGCACCATGCAGCCAGCCGCGGGCTCCGGTCCCCGTCATTGTTCACATGTCCGGAGGGAGTCTCGGATGGGCTCAGGGCGGTCTGCTACCTGCAGACTCCGCACCGGAACACTTCCGGCTTTATGCAGCAGTCCAGAAGGAGTGGTTTCAGCCAGGCCCCCAGACGCAGTGAGAGTCGTCCGCATTCGACGTGTTGCTGGTGCGCGCATTGGATGCTTTTTCGACGATGATGCCGAGGTATGACATCTATGCCAGAGTCTGCATGCTCCTGGGCTTCTCTGCCTTTGTGCAGTCTCTTGCCTTCTACGGCCCAAGCCCCGGCACCATGGTGCGAGCGGAGCTAGCAGAGCGGAGTCGCCATTGTTGTATACAAAGAAACCCAAGGCAACGGCCACATCATTGTTGAACTGCGCGCTTTCTACGTGGCTCACGCGACTGCATTTGTGATTGAGGCCAGCAGACCCAAGCGTGGCTTGCCGAGTCTTTGCTTTTTCGAAAGGTCCTACACGTCCTCCTTCTTCGCTTCGACATCATTCAGGGTCGTGTGAAGTGCCCCTAATTCGCTTAAGGCCAAGCGCCATGCACAAACAACCGTTGCTGAAAAGTGCGGACCTCCGAAAACCCGCGCCAACGCCAGGTCCACAGACCGAACTCCTGCGTGGTTTCTGTGGCTGGGTCCTGTCTCGGTGGCCTTTGCAACTGTGGGCCGCGAACTTAGCATGCTGAAGAACGAATCATTCCTCCAACATGCCGTGCTCCTCACAAGGCCCTGACATTCAATGACCAAGGAATGTCTCTGGACTTTCGAACCCAGTTCAATATCGTGGCCATCGTATTCACCTGGACTGCCCCACATGCTTTTGATAATACTTGGCAGCTGTGGGCTTGTGTTGAGCCTACAAGGGTGAAGTTTTGAGCTTCCTCAGAGGCTTGGGATTTAAGGCAGCTTGCGACTTCAGTGGTTTGACGCACGGGGAAGCCGCGTTACTCCAAACTTTTGAAGTTTCAGCCATCGCAACCAAGCACAGCCGGCCCCGTGTTGTGAAATTTTGGAGCGGAGGCAGGCAAGGTGGAATTAGACCACGCTAGGGAGGGAAAGTCCTGAGGCCTGCCATCGATCGAGCTCGCTATCGCGAACTAATTCTACGGCAAGGGTTTCGTATCGTTGAGCGTGTGAATCTCCTGGCAGATTGTGCAACACATGTCGAGGATGGCAAGCCAGGCGTGTTCCTGCAATATCACAGAAGCAATTTGCTGAACAATAAAGCTTTGCGGGAGAATGGATACGTGATGCAATGCCGCCAGTACACCGTGTGGTCGTAGCAGTCTGGCATGATGGCATCTGCTACAGCAGAAGCCCTGTGTCTTGACTCACAGCAACAGAGCTGCCCAGAGCACAGTACTCCGTGTGCTTGCAATCCGTAGATATTGGAGCGGTGCCCTTGGATTGCCAGCGTGCAGTGTGCTGGTGCGCTTGTTGTACATGGTGCGTTGCGATGCATCACTGCCGTCTGTGTTTCTGCGCAGAGCAGCCTCTTGGCCGCTGCCCTGGCAGGATCTGCATCTTCGGCGCTTACATTTGCCAGCAGCCGACTCATTTGCACTGACGTTTGCAAGAAAAGCCTTTTGAGATATTGTAGCGCGCCAGGGCAGGAGTCTGAACCATCGTGCAAGTAGTGCACAAACTGTGCTGTGTTGCAGTGCCTTGCAGGTTCTGCTATCAGCTCCGCATCCTAGAGGTGATTCTGCCGGATGACGTCCGCAACCCGCTGAAGTGCGCCTAAGGGAAGTCAGCTGGTGGGCGGTGGCTCAATCCGGAAAGAAACCGCTGCGATTGCTTGCCAGGTTGGAGGAAAACATCGGCGACGCCTGGTGGCCGGCCTCCTGGCGCTGCCCCTCGGCCTTCGCGCCCGCTTCCTGGCATGGCCTTGGCCGCCTTCGCTTCTCTTTGGAGTGTCTCATTGCTAGAAGACGCTTGTCTTTTGGAGGCATGTCCTCTACTTCGTGGCGCCGCCTGGCCGGCTCCAACCCGGGCAATTCGATCTGGTGCGCGAGGCAGGAGTGCACGAGCTCCTACTGGTAGGAGGCAAAAGAAGTCGCATCCGCTTCTGGGAAGGTGAAGAACGGGCCGCAGAACGACGCTTTCGAAAGTGCGGGGGTGGCGGGGCTCGAGTCGAAGCCTGTCGACACCAGCGGTCGCCTCGAGAAATTTCAAACAATGTGTGAGATGCGATTGGTGATATTAATTTCTGCTGTTTTTGGATTAGGCGATGCGTCGGCCAATCCCGGCATGACGGCGGAGGAGATCGCAGCGCAGGCAGGATATACATCAAGCTGCAGACTCCAACAGCTCGAAGAACTGTGAACGGAGATGCACTGTAAGACCTTGGTCGTGCAGGGAAGTGTGAAGTTCTCTGCTGCATGTGACTGCCTGTGGCAGGTTCAATATCTTGACAGACTCTTCGACTACTTCATGTCCGAGCCTTGTAGTGGATCACTACTGCACTTCTTCCAGTCTTGATCGTGAACTTTCTAAACCTGGAAATGAGAAGCCTCGCGGATTGCTTCTCTGTACCCCCTCCGTCCTGCCGGTTCCGATTCAGGCGAGAGTTGGTGGAACCTGCTCAGGTCTGACCAAGTCCACAGCCAGATGTCGGAGTCCAACAGGCAGCGCGTTAAGGCGCAACTGTCGCAAGCTCTAAATCATTTGAGTATCAGAGACGCCGTGCCTACAGGACCTGTTTGCAGAGTTTTCAGCGGCGCGCCGCAAGGGTGCTGGCCCAGAGGCTAGTCACAAGAGCTGTCGGCCTCGGGCCAGCAGCAAGACTGTCGCACTTCGCCGTAGAGGGCTGTGCAAGCAGAATCGTGCGTACTTTGCGCAAGACGAAACCCGCCCGAGCTCCTTGCTTCGCTTGTCCCTCCAAAGCAACAGGCTGTGCGGACTTTCACCGACTGCCTCATTGCCTTGGAGGGTGTTCAAGCCACGGAGGGTCTCATGAAAGAAGGAGGCCCGTCCATACAACATCATACAACCATCTCGGACTTTCTCTCGGAGTTCGGCTTTCGCTAGATTTCGGGACGGACACCGGCTACACATCGACCGGCAGCTGCCACCTCAGCTCAAGGGTGGCTTCGCTGTTGTTTTGGTGAGGTGTTCACGACCCGCTTGCCGCAGGCATGGGCAGCTCGGGCAGTTCTGGTGAAGAAGAGGAGGAGTCGATCAAAGGCACAACTAGCGTGTATCGATGGTTGCCTCCGTTCAAAGAACCCCTCCCCTATGACAGGATACACGTGGGATGGTCGCCGATTGTGGAAGACTGATGCAGCAGCAACTCAGCAACATGCTTGCTGTCAGAACCAGCTGTTCATGATGTTGCTCCACTAAGTGTGCTTTCTGCGATTGAGGTGCGCCTGTTTCAGAAGAAAGGAGAGATCGAACCTTGGCGTCTGGCAAGCAGCCCAGCTAGCACTCTTCGATTGATAACATTGTATGTATGTGTGTGCGCACGCCTCTGCTTTCGTGCCTGGATACGGGGCTGAGCCTTAGCATCATAGCATCATTGTTGTGAGTAGGTTGGCCAAGAGCATGCCGTTCTCAGCGGTTTTGCAATCCGCGGCTGAGTTGTACGGCAGCAGTGCGGTCTTCGCACTGCCCGCTCCCCCCAAAATGCACAACTGAAAAAGCTCTGCGCGAGGAGAAGGTGGCTCTATGCATTGTCAGTGCACCTACAGCACGAATCACGAAAGCTCGCGTAGCAGAGCTTGAGTTTAGTCTTGCTTTAGCAAGGAGGCAGTCCAGGGCCAGAAACCAGCGTATTATTGATAGTATCAATTTAGGGGGAGGGAGGGGGGGGCTAAATTGAACGGT